AAAACAACATTTAGTACTAGACTGAAAATCTTAAACTGAATAAGATATCTGTGCTATAATACAAGTAAAATAGATTTTGATTATGGTGACAAGGCTAATTGCAGCACAACAGTGAAATGGCATTGTCATGAAATTGGTGACATAAAATATACCTTTAAGTAAGAAATTGTCAAAAATTGCTTATTGGAACATCCAAATCTATCACGGTATAAAAAAAGTAGATAAAAAGAAACTATAATTGAGCATGTTTCTTGAAATTGGGTTGTTTGTATCAAATGAGCACCACACCTTCATAGAAACACACAGTTTGGTGCTTTAAATGAATGAAGTCTGTTTACTCTGAAATAAGAATCATTTTTAGAGGACTTTTAACATTCTCTAAAAATGTAAAATCAAGATACACAGTGTTAACTCTTCATAGCTCCTGATACCTAACCACACTGACAGTTAAAAAATAAGTTGAATCATTATTTCCTGGTGACACTGTTGTGACATCTTCCTATCATTGCTAGAAAATCCTCATATTCCTTTGAAATATACTAATGTTTTCTCTTATAAGAATCTTATTATTTATTGTTTGTGCATATTTTCATGCCAGAGAAATAATTTATTCTTGCTGTGTAGAGTTCTATCTTGTTAACTGCAGTATGTATTCTAATCATGTATATAGTTTATATTTTTAATGTCCTTTATTATTCAAATGTTAGCTACTTATATAAAACAGTTAGAAAAGGCAAACTTTGCTAATCATCTTTACAATTTAAATTAAGAAACATATTATCAATATTGGTTAACATTTTCTCTAGAATGAATTAAGAGTTGTTGTGAAGTTTCATTAAATCAATTTCGACTCATAGCCACCAATTATAGGGTTTCCAAGGAGTGGCTGGTGAGTTTGAACCACTTACCTTGAGGTTCAAATCAACCATGAGGTCCTGCACTTATCCTACAGTGCCAAACCTTTAGTGAGTAACAATGGGCCAAATTTACCTTTATCCTGACTTTCTCAACATAATCCGCAAGAGGTTATTTCCAAAGAGCAATTCCAAAGAGTCAACTGCTTTCAATGTTTCAAGATAAAATACAGATATCAATTCTCTAAGCCCTACCCACCCCAAATTGACTTATTTGTTCTGAAAGTCAATCTGGTTTAGAATAAGAAAAAAGTTCTTGTGGAAATATTTTAAAGATAATTTTCTTATCATCATAACCCAAATAAACAGAAGGATTGGTTTTTATTATAAGAATGGTTTTGGCCACCAAGAACTGATCTAAAGAAGTTTATATTAACATTTTTGTTGTTAAATGCCGTTGAGTCAGTTCCAACTCATAGTGACCTGTATAGGGTTTCCAAGGAGTGGCTGGTGAGCTTGAACCACTGACCTTGTGGTTTTAAAATGACCTTGCAGTCCAGTGCATTAACTCGAAGCGCCACACCAGGGCTCCTATAGTAGTTGTAGGAAAATGATATTTTATCTTCTCTGATAATTACCTATGCTCTAGGTACAGACAAACAAGCATTCCATTTATTTTACTGATTCTATTATTGTTGTGTACAACAGAGTAATACATTGAATTGTTTTAGAGTTTTGTATGCCTTAGATTTCCATTTTAAAGCATGTATTTTTGTGAACCTAAGGTTTCTTATATGTTTATGTATATAACTGGACTCTGGTTTGGCATTGTAGCATAAATACTGGATGCAAAACATGAGGTCGGTGGTTCAGTGATTCAAATCCCCCAGATGCTCCTTGGAAACCCTATACAGGGTCGCTATGAGTCAGAACCAACTCGATGGCACTTAACAGTGTTGTTCAGCAACTTGAACAAGATATTTGCTAGTATTAGATTATCAGGAATTAACTCTTGTGACATTGATTTTTATTTTAGACCTCAGTTCCCACTAGAAATTATTTTCTTACCAGATTTAATGGTTAAAGTTGTAAAGACCTTTATCTAGCCCCTATCTATCCATTCTTCTATTTTGCAATCCCTTGTTGAATACCTTCAAAAATTAAGTATGCCTTTTGTTTTTCTTTGAATCACACTACTTAAAACATAGTAAACTTGAAGAGTTTAATTCTAAAAGATGCCATTGTAAATATTTTTAATTAAACGGCAAATATTCTTTAAAACTATCATTATATCTATAGCTATTTAAATCAGTTTGTGACTAACCTGAAAACTTTTTTAACAATTTAAAATATAAACACCAATGAAGATTTATGTGAATATTGGGATTTGTGAAGCCTGTTATGGTTTACCAAAAATAATAGGATAAAAATATCCAGTGATGACTAGCATGTTTATATTCCATAGTTACATTTCGTGTGTGGACTGCCTCAATGAATCACCCCACTATCGGACAATCTCTTTGATATCCCATGCAAGTAAAGTTTTACTAAAGGTAATATAGAAATGGCTACAAGCATACATTGACAGAGAACTTCCAGAGGTTCAAGCCAGATTCAAAAGAGGCTGTGGAACCAGGGATATCATTCCTGATGTCCGATGGATCTTGACTGAAAGCACAGAATATCAGAAAGATGTTTACCTATGCCTTCTTGACTACACAAAGGTTTTCGATTGTCTGGACCATGACAAGCTGTGGACAACATTGCGGAGTGTGAGTATTCCAGAACACTTAATTGTGCTCATGAGGAATCTGTACCTGGACCAAGAGGCAATTGTTTGAACAGAACATGGGAACGCTGAATGTTTTAAAATTAAGAAAGGTGTGTGACAAGATTGTATTCTTTCATCATACTTATTCAACCTGTATGTTGAGCAAATAATCCAAGAAGTTGGGTTATATGAAGAAAACCATGGCATCAGGATTGGAAGAAGACTCATTAACAACCTGCGATATAATCTTGATGATACAATCTTGCTTGCTGAAAATGAAGAGGGTTTAAAACATTTACTGATGAAGAGCAAAGAGCACAGTCTTTGGTATGGATTGCATCTCAATGTAAAGAAAACAAAAATCCTCACCACTGGTCCAATAAAAAACATTCTTATTAATGGAGAAAAGATTGACGTTGTCAAGGACTTCATTTTTCTTGGATCAACTATCAACACTCATGGAAGCAGCAGTCAAGAAATCAAACGACATATTGCATTAGGCAAATCTGCTGCACAAGATCTTTTTAAAGTGTTGAAGAGCAAAGATTTCAGCTTGAGGACTAAGGTGTGCCTGAACCAAGCCATGGTATTTTCAATAATCTCATATGCATGAGAAGGCTGGTTAGTGAATAAGGAATACCGTAGAAGAATTGATGCTTTTGAATTATGGTATTGGAGGAGAATATTGAAAGTGCTATGGGCTGCCAAAAGAATCAATAGATCCGTTTTGGAAGAAGTGCAGCTAGAGTGCTCCTTGGAGGCCAAGATGGCCAAACTTCGTCTCTCATACATCAGACATATTGTCAGGAGGGACCAGTCGCTGGTGAAGGATATCATGTTTGGTAAGGTGGAGGGTCAGAGAAAAAAAGGAAAACCCCCAACGAGATGGACTGGCCAAGTGGCAGCATCGATGGACTCAAGTGTGGCAACAGTAGTGAGGTTGGCCCAGGATCAGGCAGTGTTTCGTTCTTCTGTGCATAAAGTCACTATGAGTCGTTACCGACTTGATGGCACCTAACAACAACAACATAGGACTTAGGGGGGAAATCCAAACAACAAAGTAGGTATCATACAGTTCACTATTGCATTATCTAGAGTCCTGGTGTGGTGCTGTGGGTTAATACGCTGGACTACAAAGTCAGTTTGAATTGCAAGATTGGCGGTTTGAGTACCCCAGCTGTTCTTCAGAAACCCTATACAGGGTCTCTGTGAGTTGGAACCGACTTGACAACACTTAACAACAACAATCGCATTATCTACCTTGTGACTTAATTTTTTTTAGGCTTACACATTTTCAGTGTTCTGCAGCATTGTGATTTTAAGCTGGATACACTGCTTTTAGAATGCTCTTCTCTTAAAAATCAAGGAGATATGTTTGTTTAAAATGACATTTTCATTCTGAGGGGGGACAAAATGAGCACTGCAATTGTTTTCTCCAGAAGTAAAAACAGTTGAAGTTTTAAATGTGATAAAAGTGCATGGGGTCGCTATGAGTTGGTTCCGACTCGATGGCACCTGACAACAACAACAACAAAAGTAGCATTAAATAAACATACAGGTGTTAGACCCATAGTAGTCAGAGGTGGTATGGTTTTAGAAATAAATACACCACAATTGATTTTTTATTTTATTCTTATGTTGTTGTTGTTGTTAAGTGCCTTCGAGTCGGAGCCGACCCATAGCGACCCTGTACAGGGTTTCCGAGGGTGTAAATCCTTACGGGAGTAGAAAGCCTCATCTTTCTCCCGCGGAGCAGCTGGTAGTTTCGAACCACTGACCTTAAGGTTCGCAGCCCGATTCGTAACCACTACGCTACCATAGTCATATTTAATTGGAAAAGCTAACATATACAGGGAGTCCTGGTGTGGTGCTGTGGGTTAATGCACCAGAATGCAAAGCTGTTTGAACTGCAAAGTTGGTGGTTCAAGCTCACCAGCTGCTGCTCGGAAACCTTATACAGGGTCACTATGGGTTGGGATCGACTCAACAGCACTTAACAACAACATATGCAGAGTGTTTCCTAGGAGCCAGGATGTTTTCTAAGCAGTTTAAATGTACTAACTTATTTAATTATTATGAAAAACAAACAAATGAAAAAGTAAGTACAATTATTATTTTAATTTTACAGATTTTTACCTTTCAAAGTATTATTACTATTTATCTGCTTTGTATTATCTAAAGAGTGTATGTGTTTGTAACTGGTAATTCATTTATTCCAGAGACCAGGATTATCAAAAAGCTCAGACCTATTCTTATTTTCTCTACCACCAATTTTTAAAAGACTATCCAAGAAAGAGAACAGGAGAGCTAGAGACTGGAAATAGTATACCAGCCTATTAAATACTCAATACACACAACAGCTATTATCCTCATTCTCAGTGGTTGTGTTCTGTGGTTGATGAAGCATTTGCCATCTGGTCCTTCTCGTACCACCTCCCAAACAGAGTTACTGTTAAGACAGGTCCAGATGTGGGCTTCAGGCTAGACAGCTGTCCATCACTTGACACCTAGTTAACAGAAAGAAACATAGACAGGATCTACTTTTAAGTTACATAGTTACATAAAATTCAATATAGTTAGATGAAGGAACATGGATTAAGTATGGTTCTATGTGAAGAATTTGAAATGTTACAGTGTACAGGAAAAAATGGAGCAATGGAATTGGCACTTATTCATTTATTATTGAAATGCTTAAAATCAGCATCTTATAATTTACTTATCTGAGGAAGCCTCTCATGAGTTAGTAAATGTAAAGCAATGGATTTGGGAGTTTATAAGAGAGAAATCTAGTCCTATCAGACCACATAGAATCTCCCACAGAAAAAGTCAGAAGAGGAATTTGAACTAAGCCCCCAGGGTCCCTACCCTTTACTCACAGCCCCTTCTAACTTTTTTACTCACACGTCCAACCCCCTTTAATTATTTCTAAGGGGTCTCACTCCAATTCACAGTACCCGTCCAGGGCAGAATGGAACTGCGCCTTCAGGTTTCCAAGACTCTAGATCTTGATGGAGCAGATAGTCTCATATTTTCCCTGTGGAATGGCTGGTAGGGTTTAAACCACTGCCATTTCAATCAGGAAGGCAGAGTGAAAGTAAACCCTGCAGGAGTAGCTGGAAGATACCTGAGCAGAGATAAGTAAGAAATTCTATCTGGGCTCTAAATAGCTTTTGCTTTCTTATTAACATCAGCTACTATGAGATTCTCTCTCCCTCCATATTTCTATCATTTTCTCTTACGGCCATGGTTGTACCAGGACTTGATCTACAAAGTGAGAGAAACTCCTTTCACTTCCTAAGCATTCTCTCTCCCAGTAACTCCAAGGGTTTCCTCTGATGGACTTGCCCTGAAACTACTCTTCTTGAGTCTCCTTTCCATTTGATAGGCTCTGAACAGCCCAGCCTCCTCCCATATTCCCCAAAAGAAATATATTTCTTTATTTTCAAGGATACATTTTCTTAAAATTTTTCCTGCAGAATTTCCATTAGAATCAGTTTGCTCAGTGTCCTTGGTGACCCTCAAGGCAGTTTTATCCTTAGCAAATGGGAGTCTTGATGACATATTTGAGTATTGAGACAAGTTTTAATTTCAAAAAGTGCTTCCTCTTAGGTAAAATTAATTGGCAGTATCAAGCATTAAGTCTTACCTGAAAGTCTCCAGGTGCAAGCTGAACTTCACTCAGCAACACCTCAGGGAAGACATATTGGGTTCCAAAAGTGCCACTGAGGGAGAACATTTCAAACCTGGTGGAAGCTGTTTCAACTGAGTTGCCACAAGTTTTTATATTAGTGGTTTTACACTTCAACATAGTGCAAATCTAGAGGAAGTAAACGTAAAACAGTAAATCATAACAAAGCCACTGTCATGACCTCTAGAAACGCCTATGCCCCTTATTTAGTAAAATAATGTTACTTCCTCATTAGATTAATCCAATTCATTAGTGGATAGCTAATGTAACTAATAATAAAAAAGAACTTCAAACCCTAGTACTTTCTGCACTTCATTGGCAACAAATAAACTACATAAATAACCAGTCAAGTCTTTGGCCTGTATCAGTGGCAACTATACCCTCATTGGTTTCAAGTTATCAATGATTTTACTTGGTGAAGCATTTGATTTGATAAAATGCTTTTCAATTTAGATACTAGTTCAATCTTTATATTATTGCCTAGGAACACAATGAGGGGGTTTTAGATTTAGAAGAGTCCCTAGAGATGATCTAGAAGCAATTTCTGTGATCCAGAAAAGTCAGAAACTTTGTATCTGAGCAAGGATTGAGATAGTTGTCAAGTGAGTTCTTTTGCCACTCTGTTGTTTATTGTCATTGAATCAGTTCTGGCTCATAGCAACCCTGCATAGAGTTTCCAAGGAGTGGCTGGTGGGTTTAAACCAGCGACCTTGTGATAAGCTTATTGTATTGCAGTCACACCAAGACTCCTCTTCTACTATACTACATAGCTATTTAAATGTAAAACCTAAATTCATGAGTTACCTCACCATGCAAAGACCCACAAAGGAAAATCCATTAACTACATCTTTACAGCATCTCTCATTCCAAGCCTATTTCAAGCCACCTTCATCTCTTGCCTGGTTACAGCAATAGCCTTTAATGCATCTCCCTGCTTCTACTATTGCAGGTGGGAGGTAAACACTTCAGGGCAAGTGAGTTAAGAGAAGATAGAATTAACTTTCAAGTAAAAGTTGTAGAATGAACACATGCTTCTATTTTGTTCCTCTGAAACCTTCAAAAATTGCAGCAGTATTTCAAGTTACAAATTCACAAAAGATGAGGAAACCAAGAGTCTGTCAAGTAAGATGCCAAACTGGAAAATTCTGAACTCCAAAACTTGTATGGTTTTAATGAGGGATGTTGGTCAACAATAACAACAGAAGGCTTTGTTTTACTTGAGCCCATTACTCTCTGAAGAATCCAACAAAGCTAACCTTCCTCCTGACTCCTGGGTGTTGCACTGTGGGGTAGAGCACTGGAGTGCAGAGACTAATATAATCATAGAGGGCTTATAGTGACTTTGTAATTGTAGTGTAAGTAATGGATTGGATGGAGTTGATACTGTCAACAGGAAGCCCAAGTAGGAGGGCAATACAATAATCTAGAGAGCCAGGAAGGATGGGAGCCAAACTGAGGAAGAGAACAGAAGGAGAAGACGTAGGGAGGGACCACTGTGAACTTGTTCTTGAGGGTTCCATCTCATCACATTGCAGTTATTCCTACTTTTTGTTGGAGGTTAGGGGATCTCTCAATCACGACAGCAATAAACAATTCTACTGTACAACCTCAGAGGTCATTTCTATCAATCTTCGGTATAATTAGCGTCAAGCTCTTTTAAAACTAGTGAACATACAGGGAATTGATGATCGTGTTCAAGCAGGAGGTATCATAGGACAGTTATCTATTTAAATTGTCTGTAATTTGATTATGATACTGATTTTTAAACTGCTGTCTGTAATAAATGTTGTGCTTTTTTTGAACCATTTCAAATAGAATTCATTCCAAGAATTACCCAATCGAGCAAATAAAATGCGGGATGTCCATTAAATTTGAATTTTAGATTAACAACAAATACATTTTCAGTTACAAAAATATATCAGTTTGGGAGATATATTTAAAGTAAAGAAAAAATAAAATGAAAAGAAAAAGCCACCTGAAATTCAAATTTAATTAGGTGCTTTGTATTTATTCTGACTCTGGTCACTAAAACGTGCATTACCTGTAGATAATAAGTTCCTTCAACAGTATGTAGCCCATCAAATGCCCCAAGAGCATAAACTTCATCTGATCTCTTCTCAGTCATTTTGTAGCTTAGATGACAGCAGAGGTCTTTTTGACAAACTGTGTAATTTCCTTTGATTCCCATGAGCTCCACAAAAGTGAATTCATCAAAAAAGACAGTGTTCTTAAATTCCTGGTTTCCTTTTGAGTGTGCTTCCATTCTGCTCGCATGAGAAGACCAGTTCACCCTTGAGGAGTATGGGTGGGAATTTAGGCTAGAAAGGAGGAGTTTCCCCTCTTTGGTCTTCATATCGTAATGAAACGCTGGTGGAGAATCCGGTGCATAGATACCACTTCCTAGAAGTGATAAATTGGAAATGTTGTCTTTAAAAAAACAATAACAAGCAAGTGGAAAGTGATTTCATAATTATTACTCTGGTAGCGTAGTGGTTACGAATTGGGCTGTGAACCTTAAGGTCGGAAGTTCAAAACTACCAACTGCTCTGCGAGACATAGATGAGGCTTTCTACTCCGGTAAAGATTTACACCCTCGGAAACCCTGTACAGGGTCACTATGGGTCGGAACCGACTCGATGGCACTTAACAACAACTATTATTTTAAGGAGCTCTAATAGGTGCTCCTGGGAAACTCTATACAGGATCGCTATGGGTCGGAACCGACTTGATGGCACTTCACAACAACAACAACAACAACAATAGCATAGTGGTTATGAATTGGCTGTGAACCTCAAGGTCTGCAGTTCGAAATTACCAGCTGCTCCACAGGAGAAAGATGAGGCTTTCTGCCCGTAAAGATTTACAGCCTTGGAAACCCTATTCAGGGTTGCTATGGTTCGGAACTGACTTCATGGCACTTAACAACAACAACTGTTCTTTTAAACTCGCATTAACATTTTATTGCCACTAATATGGTGTTAAGGAGCTCTGGTAGCATAGTGGTTACGACCACATAGGGCTGCGACCACAAAGTCAGCAGTTCGAAATTACTGGTTGCTCCGCAGGAGAAAGATGAGGCTTTCTGCTCCTGTAAAGATTTACAGCCTCAGAAACCTTGTTCAGGGTCGCTATGAGTAGGAACCGACTAGACGGCACTTAACAACAACAACAATATGGTGTTGCTGTGAATCAAAAATTACTCATCTGTACTGAAGAACAACATATATATTAAAATATGATTACAATTCCCACCCCCTCCATACACAGTGTAGACAGGGATGGGCAACTTGGACATTGGCTACCCAAAATGGTGGGGGCTACAAAGGCAAGAAGTGACTGGCTTACAAGCTTTCATGAGGGAGTCTAGCTCCAGAGAGTGGGGAGGAAGGTAGATTCTCCACTGAGTAGTATCCAATCTGTCTGGTCGGGGCTGATGAAAGGAAATGCGGAGAGGTCTCTTGTGATACAATAGTGAATAATTGTTATCAGGACTGACTGTGAGGGTGGAAATGTAAAGGTAGATGTTCTGTAGCAAAAGGAGGGGAGTGACTGACTTTGGAGTCTAGGAGCGGAGGTCCCTGGGACCAGCAAGGGAGAAGAGTGGAGTATGGGATCCTACCCAGAGAAGCAGTGACACCAGAGATGGAGGCAGAGATGATGATGTGGAGATATGGAGCAGCTGGGGACTTTAGACCCAGAGAGGGAGAGGGGCTGTGTGCTGATGCCCGGGAGTGGGAGGGTGGAGGGGAAAGGCTTGCAGGGTATACCCTTTGGTTGGTTGATGATGCATGGAGGGGATTGTAACCATGGCAATGAAATGCTATATGATAGGATGAATTTAAAGCTAATGTTCTCCCATGTAAACTATCACATAATTCACAATAAAACATTAAATATATATATTTATATGATTATGAGGACAGACAAGTGAAAGGAAATCTATAGAATAACGTGAGTAGAAGCCAAAGAATAGTTTCAAGTAGTAATTGGTTAAATTTGGAAAGAAAAAGTAGTGCATATTCAAGTTGAATTAAAAAAAAAAAATAGATGCATTAACTTATAAAAAGTTTAGCTTGATACTAATTCCATAAGTAGGTATTCAAAAATTAAGAATTGGAAAGCATGTATCATGAAGGACATATGAAATTGGTGACATTTTTTTTTCTCTATAAACTGTAAAACTCACATATTACCTGTCATTTTCATCATGGGGTGATGTATATTTGCTGCAAGGAAGTTGACCCCCATGCCCATAGCCCACGCGGAGTGGAACTCAACAGCCGATAAATGGGGCAGAACATTCATCCAAGCAGTTGGAAACAGTATGGTGTCCACATGGAAATCTTTCACCAAGGTAACAGCAGGATCATGGAAGAGTATATCGAAGCATGTGAAAATGCCAAATCTCCCAAAGGTGGTGTTGAAAGTCACTACTTCAGCCATCTTGGGTGAATTGAATTGAACTTCACCCATGAAAAGGTTTTGCTGTGATAAACAAAAGAGGAAGGAAGAAAAGGGAAAGAAAAAATCCCACAATTTTCAAGAAGTTGGTCCTAACATCACAGTACATAAACGAATGCAGGACGCGCCTGACCAGAGAACTACAATATCCTGAGTTGTTTCTGACCCTGAATTAAATCCTGTTCATTTCCCTAATAAACCCCATAATCATAAGTGTTGTCTGTGAATTCTGTGTGGCCATTGCAATGGATGATGGAACCCAGCTGAGAAGTAGAGTGACATGGGAGGGGCAGTAGGTGTCAGAATAGGATAAAGAAGGTTGAAGGGTAGAGCCCTATCTGACCTCTACTTCACAGGCATCAGCCTTGGACTGTTTTGAGTTTGATTCTCTTTCCCCTGTGAAGTCAAAGGAAGTCAGACACGGTCCCACACCATTTTAAAAGGCCTCCATCTTCAGAGAAAAAGAACAGAACATTAGAGAATCAGAGGAAACTCAAGTTAAAAGGGGCCTTAGGTTCAACTTCCACATTCAAAAAATAATAAACACATGGAAACCCGTATTTATAAATGTCCTCTTCGTTATTACAAGAACAAAACAGATAACTTCTACTTGTCAAGAACACTTGAACTATTTCCTGTGATCAGGAAAATGCCTATGCTCATTTCTTCTGGAGATCAACTCTTATCTGGTAAGTCCTTTTTTTTTTTTTTTTTTCCTAGCCTTGACCTATTTCCAAGACTTAAAAAAAAAAAAATTTTGTTTTTAAGTTTTTATTGTGAATTCAGTGAAGGTTTACAGGAAAGATGAGCAATTTACCATTCAACAATTTATACACATTTTGTTTCATCACATTAACTGGTATCTCCTCAATGTAACGTTACTAATGTATTCCACTTCCTCTCTGTTTCTTGTTTCCTTCCTTTCTTCTTTACTAACCCTTCTAACCTTGGATATACGTTGTCATTTTGATCTCAAATGTTTGGTTATTCTAAGGTGTGAATACCCAACTAGTATTATCGCTCCCATTATATCTTGTCTATTGTTTGGCTGAAAATTGAGCCAAGGGAGTAAAATCAATCCCAGACATAAGGTCAATAGTCTTGGGGACCCTACCAGTCTTTATACAAACAGTAAGCCTAGTTTTTTCTATGATTAAATTTTGTTCCACATTTTCCTCCCACTCTACCCAAGGCTTTCTAATATGATCCTAGTGTTAGCCAGGCACCATCTAGTTCTTCTGGTCTCAGCGTTGTGGAGACTGATGTTGGTGTGGTCCATTAGCCCTTTAAACCAATTGTTTCCCTGTGTCTTC